AACATTTGTCAACCACCCACAAGTGTCCGAACTGCTTGGGGAGGAAGATGAAGAGGCGCTGCATTATTTGACCACAGTCGAAGTGACAGAATTTGAAGATATCAAATCAGGTTACAGAATAGATTTTTATTTTGATGAAAATCCTTACTTCGAAAATAAAGTTCTCTCCAAAGAATTTCATCTGAATGAGAGTGGTGATCCATCTTCAAAGTCCACTGAAATCAAATGGAAATCTGGAAAGGATTTGATGAAACGTTCAAGTCAAACGCAGAATAAACCAGAGAGCTTCTTTACCTGGTTTACTGACCATTCTGATGCAGGTGCAGATGAGTTAGGAGAGGTCATCAAAGATGTATTTGGCCAAATCCATTGCAGTACTATTTGGTTCCTGATATGGATGATGAAGAAGGGGAAGGAGAAGAAGAAGATGATGATGATGATGAAGAAGAAGGATTGGAAGATATTGATGAAGAAGGGGATGAGGATGAAGGTGAAGATGATGAAGATGATGATGAAGGGGAGGAAGGAGAGGAGGATGAAGGAGAAGACGACTAATTGAACACTGATGGATTCCAACCTTTTTCTTTCTTTTGTTTTTTGTTGTTTTTTAATTCAGTCCCTGGGAGCAAGTTGCAGTCTTTTTTTCCTTCCTCCCCCCCACCCCCTTGTGCTCAGTCACCCTTTTTCTTGAGGTCTCTTTTCTCAAACCATGCTTCTCAACTTATTTTGGGGGGAAATACCTTGAGCAGAGTACAATGGGGAAAGAATCTCTACACCCTCTGTTCTAAATTCATTTTTATCCCTTCCTGTCTCAAAACAAAAAACAAAAAACTGTATGGAATCAACACCACCGTGTTCTGTGGGAAAAAAGAAAAACCTTCTGCTCCCTTCACTCTGCTGGAAGCTGGAGGGTGCTAGGCCCCTGTGTAGTAGTGCATAGAATTCTAGCTTTTTTCCTCCTTTCTCTGTATATTGGGCTCAGAGATTACACTGTGTCTCTATGTGAATATGGACAGTTAGCATTTACCAACATGTATCTGTCTACTTTTTCTTGTTTAAAAATAGAAAAAGAAAACTTAAAAAAATAGGGTTATAGAAGGTCAGCAAAGGGTGGGTTTGAGAT